GTACGCACGCACAACTGTTTGATGACATAATTTTTATTTTTGGGTGAACTATCCCTTTAAGAACTGTTCACTGAAAGATTCTTTGCATGCGAACCAAAAAAATGGTTCTTCTGTGGTATCGCTGCAAAACCCCCAATTTGGATCCTTTATTTTTAAGAAAATAAGAGTAAAAAAGATTGAAAGCTAAATTGAAAGGACATATCTAAAAAATAATAATTTTCAAAATTATAATAACTCTGACCTGCAGTACTTCTGGCTTTAGTCATTCAGTTCATGTGAGATTCAACTCGAGACTCTTTGTTTTGTGTTGAATTTCTGGTGAGGATGTTTTGAAGTTTCGGTTGTGATCTCCATAGGGGTTTATTTGAGGTGAGACAGTGACACGAAGGGGTTCGAAGCGCCAAAATATCTAATCTGGCTGAAAAGCACCATTACGTGATTAGTGTTGGTAAAACGGTGGAAGAAGCAACAGATTTTGGGATGCAGTCCAGTTATGGTGGACAGTGGACACACTGCTTCTGGATGATACAATGTTTTGTTTGGAATTCTACAAGTTTCTTATATGAAATTTGTGAATTTTCTTCACTTTCATCTTATTTAATGTCTATCTGGTTACTATTACTGAAAACTGCTGGTTATAGCCTTCCTCCCAGCCTGGTCTTATTTGGTTTAAGAGGGTTTTGGACACTTTTCAGCTGGCCAGGCTTTGAAACCAGCCGTCCGTCCAGCAAAGCAAATACAAACCCAATCTAATGAGAAAATGTGACTTTATACGAGGTGGCGATTTCATATAATGTAATTTATATGAAAACGTAGGATTATAAAGGTCTAGTTCACCCAAAAATGAAAATTCAGTCATCATTTACTCGCCCTCACGTCGTTCCAAACCCGCAAGACTTTCGTTCATCTTCCGAACACAAATAAAGATATGTTTGATGAAATCTGAGATTTCTGTCCCTCCATTGACAGTCTACGCAACTACCACTTTAACGCTTCAGAAAGTTCATAAAGAGATCTTAAAACTAATCCATATGAATTGAGTGGTTTAGTCCAAATTTTCTGAAGAGACTTGATCGCTTTATATGATGAACAGATTTATTTAGGATTTTATACACATATAAACATCCATCAACTCACACATCAGTTGTGGTAAACTGAAGCTCAAGCATGTTCTCTTGACGTGCGAGAACCAATGAGGTTCATTCTCGTGTTACGCAGCACGTTTGAGCTTCTGTTTATGTCCAATGATCAATGTTTATATGTGAATAAAAAGCCTAAATTAAATCTGTTCATCATATAAAGCGATCGTGTCTCTACAGAAAATATGGACTAAACCCTTCAATTCATATGAATTAGTTTTATGCTCTCTTTATGAACTTTTTGGAGCGTCAAAGTGGCAGTTGCGTAGACTGAATGGAGAGACAAAAATCTCAGATTTCATCAAAAAGATCTTCATTTGTGTTCGGAAGATGAACGAAGACTTACAGGTTTGCAACAACATGAGGGTGAGTAAATGTCTGAATTTTAATTTTTGGGTGAACTATAACTTTAAGGTTTTTTTTAGGATCATCCAGGCCTGTGACGAAGAATGACTTCTTCAGGCAGATAAAACTGGCTGCTTGGGAATCAGCCAATCAGAAGCGGTACTGCGCTCTGCGGTCCGCGGAAGAAGACAGCTTTCATTCAGTTTCGGGAAAGTTTGAAAGAGCGCTGTTGTTGAAAGACTGTAGTCTATATTGATTGATATAGAGAATATAATAGTGTTGCTGTACTTATTATAAGTTCCTAGAATTGTGTGCGTGCAACTACCAGTAAGTATACTGATGTTTGTTGTTAGTTTTACCTCACACACACACACACACTTCATCGCACGTGCCTGCTCTGAATGCAAAGACGATGCTCCGCCCACTTCTAGTAGTTACGTTAGTGCTTGTTTTCGTATAATGGCGGGGCTTCTCACCGTCTGTGTGTTTTATTGTTGAGAACGCTGTTGCTCTACAAGCCTTACGTGTCTCTATTGAAAAAACGTCTGTTGTTCTTGCACAAAGTGTAACATTGTTTATTTGAAGGAATAACTCAGCAGTTCATAATTATTATATTCAGCTGAATTTAGCCTGTTGTATATTGTTGCAGTTAATGTGCAGCAAATTAATCTTTGACCAGGGATATAGTGTATTATTGCATTTCTAAGTTTGTATTTGCTTAGTGATAAGCATTTATTATAACACTGCATTTAAGTCATACATAACAAAACTATAATTTAATATCTTGATCGTTTTTGTTTATTATATACCTGCTATGCATGTAATAACTTTTTGACATTTATATAGAGAGTCTACATTTACTGATTTATGCCTGTATCTCTGTTTTTCAGAACCACACACATTAAACTTTTATTTTAATAAAACACCTAAACGGAACATCTTGTCTGCATTCTAATCGATGCCCCCTGGTGGCCACAACCCTTTAAAGACCAGTCAAATTATACAGTCCTTTCCAATCATCAAAACAAGGCCTTTAAATGCAAATGTTCAAAATCATGTCCTTTATGCCCCTTTAGGGTTACCACTGGAACGAGCTTTCGACGGAAAACACCGGGAAATCGGAGCTTATCCTGTACGTCGTTCTCCCGCTCGTCACTCTCATCGTGTTCGGCATCGCGTTTGTCCTTCTTTACCGAAGATTCAGACAGAACAAGCTCGGACTGAGCAACATCATCGCACTCGACCTGCAGGACCCGGAGTGCAACGCCGAGATTCTGTCGTCACTCACCGGGAACGCGGAGCGGCTAAACAGCACGAGCTCGGACATGTCTGACGGGGTCTTCCTCATGGTCTACCTCCCGCCGCCCTACGAGGACACGCTGACGAAGATCACGCGCGCCGCCAGCGTCAGCAGCGGCAAAGACGTCGAGTCCATCAAGATCGAAGACCTCGAGGCCAAACTGTGTCCGGAGCTCAAGGCGAGAGCGGAGTTTGTCTGAGAGAAGTCTATTGTAGAGACACCGGGGCTAGTTGTCACACACAAGGGCTATTCATCTCAGTTACACACATGCTTATCTTCTCCAAAACTGGTTGTCTGTTGAACAACGGTGAAAAACGTTAAAGGGGTGGTTGATTTTGATTTCACTTTTCTAACTCTAGCTGGTGTGTAATGTTGCTGTTTGAGCATAAACAACATCTGCAAAGTTACAATGCTCAAAGTTCAAAGCAAAGGGAGATATTTGCTTTTAAATAAATTGCTTTTTAAGGACAACAAGAAACGGTGCGTTTTTGCTCCCCTTCAAAAAGTGACAATTTTAACATGCTATATATAAATATCAGTTGGGTATTTTGAGCTAAAACTTCACATACACACACATGGGGACATCAAATACTTATTTTACATCTTGTGGAAAGGGCATTATACCACCCCTCTAAGCCTGAGTTAAACGTTTTTCACGCATCTTAAATCCTGCAGTTTTTTTTAATATTTTCATTTTTAATGCATGTATATTTATTACACTATACTTTGTATTATATTACCTTTGCATCAAATCACAAAAAAAGCGGGACAGTAAAGTAAAACAGTGAAATCTTTCTCTTTCTGACTGCTGTTATCAATCTCTTTTTTTATTTTTTTATTTATTTTTTTAAAGTTGTGAAAACTATTGCGGAGTTTTTCTTGTGCTATTTGAGCAAAAATATATTTAATGTAGTCTCTTTTTCACCACAATAGAAGTTTACCCAACCATGATGACTTCCGCTTCTGAGGAACCCGGAAATATACTATTTTCTAAAAAATATACCTCAAGTGAGAAATATTCACTTGAGTACAAAGTGTGACAATTAGCCCCGCCCTCTGAATTTGAAACCTGAATTTGGCAGGGTCTTTTACACGAAAATGTACTAAAACCATACATAGAATAAAAAGATATCTCGATATTCATAATAGTTTTGAATTTAAACAATGTATTATACATTGTCATGAGAGTAAATCTTTGTGCTTGTACAGTATTTACAGCAGTAGGCTATGTGTTATCAGGAAGTAATCACCATGTGTTTTACTTTGAAATACTGCCTAGTTAGACACACTTTATGTTGTCGCACAATTAGTTGAAATCAGTCAGTGAACATGTTACTTTTTTATATCTGCCTGACTGCATCAGTCCTTGTTTGTATTCAGACATAAATCACAGTCCTGACAGGTTTTGCATTATCATCATCAGTCATGTAGTCTTCTAAAGTATTTCTAATAAAGACCACATTAAAGACCACTAAGTGTCACTGAACTTTTTTTTTTTTACATATTCTCATTGCCTACAGTACACAGGAAAAATTACTAAAGATCCTCTTTTAATATTTCACTCAACAACAGTTGTTGAAAAAGTTTTAAATATTAGTATATGTGTGTGTTATACATGTTGCATACATTTCTTTTCCCTTCATTTTTAGTAGCTAGCAACACCAGAAAAACAAAATGGCTGCTGCATTTACTTATAATTATGGTTGTATGATATTCTTACTTGAGCTGAAAAAAAGTTTGAAACCATCCTGTTTATTCTTTGAAGTAAAGGCTGGATTTGTCAGTTTTAATAATAAATATCTGACACAACTAACAGTGTTGATATATGCTGACATGCATTCTGTGATGAATGTGGAACAGATTATTATAAAATATTTGTATATTTTTGTGTTTTATTATCCCAGTATTACTCAAAAATCAAGGGTGCCATTCATTTAATAAAAACAAGCACGCCATCTAGTGGATGTTCTATGTACCGGTACTTAATAAATTGCCCACTAACTAACAGGAAGGGAAAAAATAGCGTGTACAAATATCGTAACTTGGTCTACTCATCTTAACCACTGATTAGAAAATTAGAGAACCACCAATCTGTCATTTCACTAAACCAACCAACAACCTACACACCTTCTCAAAAGCCATGTGTTTTACATCTGATTTGAATTGTCCACAATGTTCATGACTGAAGGAATGAATTAAATTCATGAGCACAACACTGTGTTTCAAAAGGATTTAATGACTCATTCAGAATAAGACACAAACTGTGCTAGGATTTGATGTCTAAAGCTAAAAGTTAATAAATGCGCATAAATGTAAAAGTAAAGCAGGGGACATCAAGGTTCAGGATTCAGGTCTAAAACTCAGGATTATGGACAGTCAGCGAAGTATATAGAGGCCTTTGCATTGACACACTCTGGCTGGTAGATCAAAGAGATCCTGTCAAAGGAAAGTATTAAAGATTAAAGACTGTATGCTTTTTAGAAAAGAAATGATCCACAGCTATTGTAGAGACCTCTATATCCGTTTATAATATTCTTACATGCAAACACAACAAATGCATTCATGTTTTCCATTAATTGCTGTATTGAATTGGTTGTTGTATATTAAACGTGTTTTAGATTTCATTCACTTACATTTTACGGATGTGTTTAGCAGTTTTGGGGTCAGGAATCACTGCAGTCCTGTGATAGTCAGATAAACACAGTTTCAGGACACTTGCACTCGCCTGCCTTATAAGGATTCACTACTAATAGCATTTCTATGTGGAATAAATGTCGACACTAGGCCTACAGTCTGCTAAATTAACTTTTACACTAACTATTACACTAGAAATTAAGATGTAGGCCTAGTGTGAAAATAGCTTTATACGATAATAGCATGTTCTCATATTTATGTGTACTATTAAAATAAATTAAACTCACATTTTATTTATAAGGACTTGGACACAGGCCAAATCATCACTGATGTTATCGTCAAGCAGCTCTGAAAAAGAAAAATAATCACATTAATTTAAGAGCACACACACACACATATATATTGAAGTCTAATCTGCTCATCAAGGCGGCAGTTAGTTAATCAAAAATACAGTAAAAACAGTGATATTGTGAAATATTACAATTTAAAATACCTATTGAAATACTTATTTCTATTGTAATATATTTTAACATTTTCAGCTTCACATTTTCTCCAGTCTTCAGTGTCACATGATCTTTTTAATATGCTTATTTGCTGCTCAAGAAACATTGCTGATTTTTATCAATGCTGTAAACAGTTGTGCTGCTTCATATTTTTGTGGAAACCGTGATATTTTTTTCAGGATTCTTCGTAGAGCTGCACGGTTCTAGATAAATTGAGAATTACATTTTTATTTAATTGTTTCAAACAGAGATCAGAATTCTGAACAGACAAACTAAACTAAAGAACATGTAATTTACTAGAGGTTCTGACAAAATGTTAATTGCTGAAGTCTATGTTTAAATGTTAAATTAATCTGAATGAATTTTTTAAAAATTGTGTTAAATGAATAATTCAATGACTCGCTCAAATACTTCACTGTATTCATTACTAGATGAATCAGCGTCTTTGAATGATTCATTGACAAATATACTTTTTTACAGTTACTTGTCGCCACCCACTGGCTTAATGATGTATTCGATGCAATCGTTATTTGAAGTGCCAAGTTACTTTCAAAAATTTATTTAGTGTTTAAATGTGAACTTTTTTTTTATCCCAGTACTTCTGTGATAATTTGAAGGTAACACTTTACTTGAAGGGGTGTACATAAGACTGACATGACACCTTCATAACCATGACATGACATATGTCATGAATATGAAGTAGGGTTTATGCATGTTTGTGACAACTGTCATTAAGTGTCTTTCGCTCAATAATGACATTTTGAATGCAAATATGACATTGTTTAAGATGTCTTTGTTATGACATCTTGACATAAACCATAACGCCATAACCTGTCAGTGTCTTTGTCATGACAACTTGACATTAAATTTAGTTAAACTGTCATGTGGTTGGTTTTGACATTGGCTGTCATCAGTCCATTATAACTGTGTCATGAATATTTTTCGTGACCTCAACTACAGTGGTACAAATTGAATTTGTCATTAAACAGTTATAATGGCTTCATGACAGTCAATGTCAAAACCAACCACCTGACAGTTTAATGTAATGTTAACCAATAAAGCTAAGTGGTTTCTTAAGTTTGATAATTAATCTGCTATGTCATGTTTATGACAGGTTGTGTTGTCTTAATAATGTCAAGTTGTCATGACAAAGACACTGACAGGTTATGATGTATTGGTTTATGTCAAGGTGTCATAACAAAGACATCTCAAACAATGTCATATTTGCATTAAAAATGTCATAATTGAGCAAATGACACTTAATGACAGTTGTCACAAACATGCATAAAACTTCCTTCATATTCATAACATGTGTCATGTCACGATTATGAAGGTGTTATGTCAGTCTTATGCACACCCCTTCAAGTAAAGTGTTACCCAGCATGTATTTGAAATATAAACCTTTTGTAACATTAGAAATGTCTTTACTGTCACTTTTGATTAATTTAAAGCATCTGTTTTGAGTAAAAGTGAATATATACTCACTGTTGCAGGTCAGTCCGCAGAGGTTCAGGGAATGACTTTGGGTGGAGTTGCACACCACATGGTCACTAAGTTGGAACAAGCCGTACAAGGTCCAGACCTCATTTTTGTCCTCTGCACTTTCCAAGTGGGGTGGAGAGGGGACTTTACTGGAGGGGCGGCCTTTATTTTTTCCTTGGCTCTTGGCAGACCTGCCCTTACGAGGACCGTGAAGTTCACCTGAATTTTGTGGCTCAGTGATCGTCTTAATGGCGCTGGTGTTGAAGTTAGAGGTCAGCTGGACATGGCACACGACTGTAAAGAGAGTTTCAGATAAGGTTCACAACAAGAACAATAAACAACAATGATGACTAGCATCCTCACCAACGCATAATGTTGTTCTGTTTATTCTAAGCGCACGCTGCAGTTTTGTCTCCTGCCGCTTCAAATGCTCAACCATTTCTGTTTGGCTGTTAGTGCTTTAATCGTTCTTAAGCTGAAAAAAATTTGTGCTTGAAAGTGATTCCAACGATATCGTTCCTTGGTGCCGTGTATTGTTATAGCTGTGGTGTGGACTTTAAAGGTTATTAATTGGAATCTATGGTTCCATAAAGAACCTTAAACCTCCATGGAATCTTTCCATTCCACAAAAAGTTCTTTATTATGGAAAAAGGTTCTTTAGATTTGTAAATTGTCCTAAAAAAATGGTTCTTTAAGAATGGCTCACAGAAAGGTTCTTTGGGGAACCAAAATATTTCCTGGCATCACCCCTTTTAGAAACTTAATTTTTTAAAACTATATCTTAATCATTATTGTTATCGTCCTTGGTGTGCATAAGCCTTTATTTGGTGAAAGCTGAAAGGTCATTTTTAAAGAATATCACCACCACTCTTTTCCATATAAGTGACCAAAAAATCTATATGCTCAGCTCACCTGCAAACCGTGAAACAGTAACTATATTAATACACACAGAAGCATCTGTGTTCGGTATCTCAAGTCAGATATTAAGCTCTGGATTTAGAGATGGAGACTTACTCTGTGCCAGCACGTCGGTCATATTCGGAGGCAGTGTAAGGCCGGTCTGAAGCTGCTGCTTCAGCTCACATTTATTCAGAATCACGCTGTCACTCATGCCGACCGCCAGGAATAAAACAACCACAGCTGCCAACATCTTCATGCCTGGATGGATACTCATGATCTCTCTGTGTTTTTCTTACTGGGAGTATTTGCAAGTAGAGGATGAGCCGAATGTGTAGATATAGCCCCACATGTTCCCCTGAGATGGTCCGTCTATTACACTGGGTTGTGTGTCAGTGTGTAGGCGTTTTATGGCACTTTATGTTCTGTATGTAGTGTTACGGTTTGGTTTCAGTGCACAGACTCTAGAAATGAAACAAGACAATGAAGTTTTTTGTGAAGACGGTAACATCAGAAATGTTTTTTTGTCTCAGAATGGATCAAATGTCATGTACAGGTTATGTGATGCCTCTAGACTACAGCATAAAAAGATCTGGACAGACTGACTGGTACACGGGACAATGCTGGGAGGAGAACTGAGTTTATCACGTAGGAAACATAGGCCTATATTAGAGGTCTTCATGGGTCCACTTTGATACAAAAACCCGAACAGAATGATGCAAGCAAGATTTTGCTTTGTTCTGTTAGTACCATGCAGGGTGGAAATTGTGGCAATGCATTTCAGGTCAAATACGTTGGGATTAAAATTAGTACACGTTATAGTACATAGTACACACGTGCAGGCTTTCCATCCGAGCATGCACATTAAGATCTTCCTGTCACGTAAAGTGTGTTATTCTCACAAATGGTTAAAACTCAAGAAACAGTTTTATATAGCCCTAGACTATATGCAATCCTGTATTGGACCTCTCGTTTGTCCGGTATTTGCATATATACAGGCTGCATTTTGTTATGTGATGAATTGTTTCTCATAGCCTTAATAGTTTAGTCGAGTCACTTTCTCCAAATTTGTGTTTAAAAAGTAGCTCATCAATGGGTTTTTTTTTGCATACAGATGATTCTATTTTATTGTAACCTACATTTAGAAGTTTTAGTGCACAATTATTTATGAATCAAGAATTCTGGATGAACACAGATTTTACTGACAAATTAGCTACGTGTGAATCAATGCACTATTAGACCCACCCTCTTCATGTTGTGCAGATATGGGTTTTTGTTTAATTTTATTGTTTAATTTTATTGATAATATCAATTGTGAAAGTTTTATTCTTTTATAAAAAAAGGCAAATGTTTTGATGTTGCTTTGCATTTATTGAAATGGAATGAAACATGAAACAACTCATTATACATTCAGAAGATTTGAACAAACTGTATAATTATGTCAGAAAAGAACCCAAAACAAACAAGAACAGTTTACTAACATTAAGTTGATGTCAGGGAAACAATACAATACTGTCACGGTGTGGTGTGGGTTGAAGAAGACTCAAAGTCCAAAGGCTCCAATACAAACGCTTTACTTAAAGTTTACTCACAGGAGCAGGCAGGCAGGATAATACACAAACACACTCTAAACACAAATAACAACTGACAAAGACTGACTGAACTGAAGGGAACTAAATACAGGCCCTGTCCCAATACCCATACTACGCCCTAAGGTCTTCCTCGAAGTGGACACTTGTTGAAAGAGCACTTAGCGGAGTAAGTGCGCAATGGCCCGAAGCTGTGAAGAGCAGAATTGGGACAGTTTTGCACACGTCACAATCTACGTCACTTCTGTTGTGATCAGGGGAGCAAACACCGTTCATTTGGCTAATGTGTGTGCTGCTTATAATAGCTGTAAACATGACACAATCCTTTGAATGAAAAAATGTATATCTTTTTTTACTCTTAGCTACCAACCTTTCTGTTAATGTTATTAATATTAAAACAGTTTTTGGCTAAGATAAATTGTGATTGAGTTTTACCTGAGCTTATACTGCCTTACCGTATTCACAGCGATTCGAAATGCAATTTTAATTATGTTATTATGGAAATTGATATATGAAATTCTTCCCATCCCATACATGAAAAAATACATGACGTGTTGGTGATATATTAGGCTATACCGGTATATTAAAATAGTCTTACATAGGCTATATGAAATAAAATGACACAACCCTGTCTCTTTTTGTTAAATTTCAGTTTTATTGATCAATAATAGCCATTATTAAAGTATAAGCAGCCTAAAAAGTATAAGCTATATAAGTCAAGAAATAAAGCAAGTTAAAAGATTCAGTCAAACATAAGTCAACAGGCTAACGTTACAACGTTACAGTTAAATAGCCTAAATATATAAAGTTATGAAACTTCACTTTGCCCTCAGCCAAAACGATTTGCCAGGGAACAAATCATAGATTAATGAGACCAAAGATCGCCAGTTAGATATAAACAAGCCAATTTATAGCTCATGTTTAACTACTAGACACAGAGCCCGCAGGAAACGTCAGAATGACTAGCCGAGGTAAGGCTGTTCCAGGCGGGGTACATGAGCGCTGAGCGCCCGGTGATCCCTGGAACTCTGAAAACTTCAGATCAAATTTTTAAATAGGCGCTATCTTTATAAATAAACCACAGATTTGAGCTTTAAACAACTATATTCTCGACTGAAAAACTCCTAAAACTACATTTCGTGACACAATAACACTAATATTTTTAAATTCGCGTCCTTGAAAAACACTTTACCACACCGTCCGGCTTCCTTTATCTTCGGAGTTTCCGCTCCCGAACAGCACCATAGCAACCGTTATACCCCATTGGTTAGCTGTTCGAAACGTCACAATACTACAAGGATTCTGAAGTGCGGATATTGGGACAGGGCCAAATACAGAGACTGATTGATTAGTGAAGACAGGTGAAACAGTTGATGATAAACAAGACAGGTGCTACAGATGAACTAATAAAGACACGTGACATGAAGACAGCAGACAACTGTGACAAATACAAAGTATGACATGAGCCCTTTAACCATTCATAAATTACTATTAGTTCATTTTATTTTCCTGCTGGTGAGTGGATGTTGTGATGGAGGTTGCAGTGGAGCTTGAGGTGGAGGTTGCAGTGGGGGTTTTGTTGGAGGTTGCTGTGGGGCTTGAGTTGGAGGTTGCAGTGGGGTTTGAGGTGGAGGTTGCTGTGGGGTTTGAGGTGGTGGTTGCAGTGGGGCTTAAGGTGGAGGTTGCTGTGGAGCTTGAGGTGGACGTTGCAATGGGGCTTGAGGTGGAGGTTGCAGTGGGGTTTGATGTGGAGGTTGCAGTAGGGTTCAAGGTGGAGGTTGCAGTGGGGCTTGAGGTGGAGGTTGCAGTGGGGTTTGAGGTGGAGGTTGCAGTGGGGCTTGAGGTGGAGGTTGCAGTAGGGCTTGAGGTGGAGGTTGCATTGGAGCTTGAGGTGGAGGTTGCAGTGGGGGTTTTGTTGGAGGTTGCTGTGGGGCTTGAGTTGGAGGTTGCAGTGGGGTTTGACGTGGAGGTTGCTGTGGGGCTTGAGGTGGAGGTTGCAATGGGGCTTGAGGTGGACGTTTCAGTGGGGTTTGATGTGGAGGTTGCAGTAGGTTTCAAGGTGGAGGTTGCAGTGGGGCTTGAGGTGGACGTTGCAGTGGGGTTTGAGGTGGAGATTGCTGTGGGGCTTAAGGTGGTGGGGGTTGCTGTGGGGCTTAAGGTGGAGGTTTCGGTGGAGGTTGCAGTGAGGCTTGAGTTGGAGGTTTCAGTGAGGCTTGAGTTGGAGGTTTCAGTGGGGCTTGAAGTGAAGTTTTCAGTGGGGCTTGAGGTGAAGGTTGCAGTGGGGCTTGAGGTGGGGCTTTCGGTGGAGGTTGGAATGAGGCTTGAGTTGGAGGTTTCAGTGGGTCTTGAGTTGGAGGTTTCAGTGGGTCTTGAGTTGGAGGTTTTAGTGGGGCTTGAGGTGGAGGTTGCAGTGGGGCTTGAGGTGGAGGTTGCAGTGGGGCTTGAGGTAAAGGTTGCAGTCGAGCTTGAGGTGGAGGTTGCAATGGAGCTTGCAGTGGAGCTTGAGGTAAAGGTTGCAGTGGGGCTTAAAGTGGAGGTTGCAGTGGGGCTTGAGGTGGAGGTTGCAGTGGGGCTTGAGGTAAAGGTTGCAGTCGAGCTTGAGGTGGAGGTTGCAATGGAGCTTGCAGTGGAGCTTGAGGTAAAGGTTGCAGTGGGGCTTAAAGTGGAGGTTGCAGTGGGGCTTGAGGTGGAGGTTGCAGTGGGGCTTGAGGTGGAGGTTGCAGTGGGGCTTGAAGTAAAGGTTGCAGTGGGGCTTGAGGTGGAGGTTGCAGTGGGGCTTGAGGTGGAGGTTGCAGTGCGGGTTTTGGTGGAGGTTGCAGGTTGGCTTGAGGTGAAGGTTGCAGTGGGGCTTGAGGTGGAGGTTGCAGTGGGGCTTGAGGTAAAGGTTGCAGTGGGGCTTGAAGTGGAGGTTGCATTGGGGCTTGAGGTGGAGGTTGCAGTGGGGGTTTCGGTGGAGGTTGCAGTGGGGCTTGAGGTGGAGGTTGCAGTGGGGCTTGAAGTAAAGGTTGCAGTGGGGCTTGAGGTGGAGGTTGCAGTGGGGGTTTCGGTGGAGATTTCAGTGGGGCTTGAGGTGGAGGTTGCAGTGCGGGTTTCGGTGGAGGTTGCAGGTTGGCTTGAGGTGGAGGTTGAGGTGGAGGTTGCAGTGGGGCTTGAGGTAAAGGTTGCAGTGGGGCTTGAAGTGGAGGTTGCAGTGGGGCTTGAGGTGGAGGTTGCAGTGGGGGTTTCGGTGGAGGTTGCAGTGGGGCTTGAGGTGGAGGTTGCAGTGGGGCTTGAAGTAAAGGTTGCAGTGGGGCTTGAGGTGGAGGTTGCAGTGGGGGTTTCGGTGGAGATTTCAGTGGGGCTTGAGGTGGAGGTTGCAGTGGGGGTTTCGGTGGAGGTTACAGGTTGGCTTGAGGTGGAGATTGCAGTGGGGCTTGAGGTGGAGGTTGCAGTGGGGCTTGAGGTGAAGGTTGCAGTGGGGGTTTCGGTAGAGGTTGCAGTGGGGCTTGAGGTGGAGGTTGCAGTGGGGCTTGAGGTGGAGGTTGCAGTGGGGCTTGAGGTGGAGGTTGCAGTGGGGCTTGAGGTGGAGGTTGCAGTGGGGCTTGAGATAAAGGTTGCAGTGGGGCTTGAGGTGGAGGTTGCAGTGGGGGTTTCGGTGGAGGTTGCAGTGGGGCTTGAGGTGGAGGTTGCAGTGGGGCTTGAGATAAAGGTTGCAGTGGGGGTTTCGGTGGAGGTTTCAGTGGTGCTTGAGGTGGAGGTTGCAGTGGGGCTTGAGGTGGAGGTTGCAGTGGGGCTTGAGGTGGAGGTTGCAGTGGGACTTGAGGTGGAGGTTGCAGTGGGGGTTTCGTTGGAGGTTTCAGTGGAGGTTGTGGTCCAGGTTGGCTTTGAGGTGGATATTGTGGTGGATTTTGAAGTTGACTTTGTCGTGGTGAAGAAATTAGGTGGTTTGAATGGTGGCTTTATGGGTGGACCAGAGGGCTGGTGGGGCTCACACATACTGAACACCAACAGAACCAGAGGCAAAACCACCAATATTTTCACTGGAAGAACACTCTTCATCTCTGATGATCTGGAGATTAAACACACTTTTTTCAAATTACTGTGTATATCTCTTGAAATAAAATCAAGAACAAATCACCATTTTAAGTCTTGTTTGCATAATCATGCAAACAAGCAAATAATATTTATGCACTTTTAATTCTATGACATTTTTTTGCTTTATTTATTATAAAAATGTCCATTAGAAAGAATTCGATAAATCATTTTACAAATAACCACCAAAACTCCATTGAGCTGAATACAAATATTTTTTTCAATCTATAGTATAATTATATTTAAATCTCTTACCAGACGTTCTGTTGTTGGAGATACAGATGAATGAGAGTCTTTAAATGTTCCTCTGTCTTCGCTGTCTATGACCCATCAGACTTATATATGTTAGAGTCGCCTCCACCTGCAGCTGCACCTTTGCTGTTGATTCAACCCACCATTATTGATATTTTATCAATGTTTTTCATTTTTTTTTCTTCATTTTTTTTTCATGAATCAACCAGAAAATGATGTTCTCTCCCTGGTGAGTTTTGGTTCCTCCCTAGGATTCATCCTCATCTTCCCTAACCAAACATTTTAAAACACTATTTTCTATTTTCAGTTGCCTTATAGCAAATTGTATTATTATTGAGTTTAATTGAATTTAGTTCTGGGCTATCTTGACATCATTGTTCCTATATAATTAAAATAATTGTCCAAGTTTTGATTGTTTTTTCTTTGGGAGGATCAGTATTCAGAATGGACCGACTTCTCTGTCAAGCCAGTTTAAAACAATGCAGTCCTTTTTTTAATAACCTGATTATAAAATTTTACATAATTCACAATCATAATCAGAACCAGCCCTAGATCATTGTTTTATATTTAGGGCTAGAACAAGTTTTGCAATCTTAGATGTCATGTTGGCTGGAAGCAAGTATTCAACTAATCCAGATTTAAAAAGAAAATTTTAATAGGACAAAGCAATGAAAACGTGGTGGTGACATAATTTAACAAAGCAAAAATACTTTAAACGTATGATTTTTGAGTGCAATCAAAGTCAAATGTAATTGATAATACCAAACTATTTGGATTATTTGCATTTGTAATTTAGTATGGCGACTTTAAAATTTGAAAATATTATATATGATTAAATATTAAAGGTGCTATATGTATTTTTTAGCGACCTCTATCCGTGATGTTTCAGATTGCAACCAATTTTTACAAGAGCGCTCATGCTCGTGCTCGAACACAAGAGCGAGCACTCATGGTACACGGCCACACTGAGACTTTCAACACATCGGAGAAAGCATCACACAACATGCTGGAAACTCATGTAAACTCCCACTGCAACGTTACAATAATAGGCTACTTTTATCAGCTTGACGTTGAACTAATGTTCCATGCTCGTACCATGATAACGTTACATTGACTGCATTTAGCCGACATGTGGTGTTATCTAGCATAAGGCATTTCACTAACTATTCGTGTATCTTTCACAATCAGCAATGTCAACATAGGTGAATGTATAATATGATAACGAAAACGGTTAGTGACTAGACTGAACAATTTTAGTGTAACAGTAAGATCGTAGGAAGTAACATTACTGTACTGAACGTGTCTGGAAATGTGTATTATAAACAATATGATAGTAGTGGGATGAGTGACGTTAGACAGTAGATCTAGTACATAAAATAAAAGTTACATCCTAAAGCACCTACTTTTTGTTATCCTGGAACAGTCTTTTGTATAATTTCATATCTCATGTATGTTGTAGTTTACCTTGCTATTTCATTACAGTTTACCATTATATCAGCATATCTGAAAACTTGTAATTTATCACAATAAAAATAGCGGAGGTCTCTCCATAATTCAAATGCTCTGCCGATGTTGATCCGTGTTTTCGTCCCAAGTCGATCCGATTCACGTTTGGCCTGACGAGCTTCAGCAGATACATTTTTGTTTTGTTTTTTATATTTATGTGGAGTTTGTGTTGGAGTGTGTGTTGTGCTGGAGGCAGGAGTTTTGGGTGTTATCAGACTCATGTCGTCAGCTGCAGTGCCGTCGCATAGACTGTATATAAAAAGGAGAGAGGTTTAGGAGCGCGCATGCACGTCACATCCGATGGATTTCGCAGAAAATCCGACCCGGAGACTTCACATAGAAATATGAATATTGGCCTTCAGAGGTAATAGCAAAACCCGACAAGTGGATTATTGTAATGTGTGATTACAACCCCTTCACACACAGGCAATAAAAAAAGGATTAATTTTAGAAGAAAAGTTCCATATAGCACCTTTAAGTTATTCTAATTTATTTTTAAATATTAAATATTATCTTTATTAAATAAATAAATATGAACTAGGTAGACTTTTATGCATGTAAACAGTCAGAATATTCTGGACGAACAATAGTTATAGAAATAATAGCATTTTTAAATGAATACATTTGTTTTTATTTCTTAAAAAAAAAAATATATATATATTTATTTATATATACTAAAATATAGTATTGGAAGCATGTACTGCAATTTTAAAATTAACTATTTGTGTTAGATACTCAAAACCACTGCATTTCAACTCATTACAAGAAACTGGAAAACCCTTATTTGATTTTATTATTATTAATACTATATATAAAATGTATTGAATTAGTAATTACACGTCTAATCGTGTTCTCTGAGGTGTCACATAACCTGTACATGACATTTGATCCCAGCTGAGACAAAAAGGAAAGGACTCTTTAAATGTGTTCTCGACTGTCTAAAAGATGCACAAAGTCATTATTGTTATATACTCAAAACTTGCTGTCACCCAGTTCCACGAAAACCAAACCGCAATGTTTCGTACTCAACACACAGTGTCATAAAATCGCCTTCAAACTCACATACAACAACCTCTATCTCTTTTATTTCACACAAAGATGCGGCTCTCAGGGGAACACAGGTCAGTCTATATTAGAGTGACCAAACGTCCCGATTTCCAGGGACAGGTCCTGTTTTTGGTGGCTTGTACCTGTCTGGAAATGTCACCTAAAATGTCCCAGTGTTTTTTAATTATACGTTCAAAAGTAAAATAATACTAATTTGATAAGAAGCCATAGAGCACAGGTTCACTCCACCAACAGAGGGCGCTGCGAAATAAAATTGTGGGGTTACACAGCCCTGTTTTACTTGGTCTCAACAATCATACTAAAATATGTTTGAGTGTGTTGAAAGTTGTTATAACGTTACTCTGTGTGTTCGCTCAGTGGCTGGTATGAGACACTTGTTGCACACTGCAGTATGCTAGATCGAAAATACAATATCATATTAACTCTTTCCCCGCCAGCGTTTTTAAGAAAAGTTGCCAGCCACCACCAGCATTTTTGATCAGTTTTACAAAAGTTTCATGGCCCTCAGAATGTATTGTTGTATGAATATGTACCTACACATGCAGTATATCAAAAGAAAGAACTAAGTATAAGAAATATATGCTTTTAAACAACAACAACAAAAAAAAACATCTTATTAAAGCTTAATGCATTGTTTTATCAACTCTTGAATGCGTTTCATTAAAAAAAGTAACATTTTGAGAAAAATGCTGAGAAAAACGCGTTTTTACATCCAGACTACATCCAGATCAGATTCAGAACGATGATCAAAACACAGTTAGAGTAGATCGAGTCCTTCAACACCCCCAAAGATTCACTGTCCTATTTCATTCAGTAACATTAGGCAGTTTTTATTTATATGCTGTTTAATGTTGGTGATTGTGCTATTGTACATATGCAGATCAGTGGCAGTTCTAGACCATGATAACGGGGGTCCAGGTAGGGGACACTTGTGCTTTTAGTGGCACACTTTAACATTTAACTTAAAAATGAAAACATCATTCACTTACTCTCATGCCATTACAAATATGACTTTCTTTTGTTGAACATCAAAGAAGATATTCTGAGAAATGTTTTTGTCATCCATACAATTGAAGTCAATGGGGACCGAAACGGTCTGGTTACCAACATTGTTTAAAACATCTTCTTTTGTGTTCAACTGAAGAAAGAAACTCATACAGGTTTGGAACAACTTAAGGGTGAGTAAATGATGACAAAATGTTCATTTTTGGTTGAACTATCCCTTTAACCTATTTTCAGGACTATTGGAAGTCATTTTTACTGGGTCAAGTATCACTCTGCAATCTCTACACATTAATTAAAATGATTTCAAGTTCATCTTTTTTTATTTGACAAGTAATCTTGTATTGTAGTGTGATAATTAGCAGTGATGACATACCACTTCTACCATAACACTACCTCTGTACAAGATAAAACGTTGTCAAAGTAATTGGCTGAGCGGAAGCGATGAATAATTCTGTATTATACATTTTTAAGGCAAGACAAGTAATTTGTTGAGGTCAATTTGTAAAGAAAGACTACACACCTGCGCACATGTATATTTAAACGCGCATCGCGCTTACCTATAGACTAAACAGTAATACGCATGTGCACGCCAACAGCGTTTTCACAGGCTTGGGTTTTTGAAGTTTGTGCAGAGAAAACGTTTTTTACTTTATTTTCAGGACTTGCTTCTTGGAACCTATTTCAAGGTTTGCGTTCTCGAGCCACCAGGCACAGTTGTCGTGCGAATGAGCGGGCCGGAGCGCGTTAAGGGTTTTCTGTTAGAATGGTGTCGTGTTAGCGGCCCCGAAGTTAATAACTAATCATCTCTGCAAGTGAATCAAAACTAACTTAACCTGGATAATAACTTAATTCTAGTGCTGCTGTAAAGCCAAAACAATCTCTGTTACTTTAATTTCCTATTATCACTGTAAAGCTGCGTTGAAACAATCTATATTGTTGAAAGCGCTGTATAAATGAAGGTGACTTGACTTTTAATATCGAGGCACTTTTCTGCATCTTTAAACTTGACACTTTAGTACACAAAACAAATTGAAAACAAAAATGACAAAAAACATCTGCTTTATAATCTTACAGATGGGCCGAACACATTTCTGTCACAATTATGTTCTCTCTAGTCACTAGAGAGTCTCCACTTGTTCTCGTTAGTCCCTGATTAGTTTGTCTTCCTCCACCTGTGTCTAGTTAGTTTCCTCATTTCATCCTGTGTATTTATACTCCCTGTTCAGGCGACATTTACACATAGCCGGGTATTTAGAGAAACGACATCGTTTTCAAAAAAAGTTGTCTTTTATATCAATCCGCATAAATACGCCGTCGAGCGCCATCATAACTATGCCAAACTGGGCGCTCACATGACGTTAAGCATTTTCTGGCGCATAATGTGACGTTTGAGAACCTAAAACCCTGTTTCTCCCAGTTGACACGGCAACACATGACCGGCGTTATCAGAAATCTCCACTTTGGCCAGAGTTTTTAGAAATAATCGCTTTCTGTGATGAAAACTGAGTTTTCGTGTAAATGAGAGGCCAAAGCGCAGGGAAATATCTGCGTCTTCCCTTCGTGTAAACGGGGCATCAGTCCCTTGTCGGTTCTCTTTAATGCTAATTGTGGTTGTGTCTGTCCTGCCTGAGTTTGTTTCAGTGAAGACTGTATTTACCGTCATCTTCGTCTTGTGCCTTCTACTGCCTCCGAGACGTTACAATTTAAATCTGTTTTAATAATTTATCTGTAACATTATCAAAATTAAACCATTTATTTTACATGTTTGTTCTCATATTGTGGACTCTTTGCAAAGTTTGCATGGTCATGATTGTTTCATATATTGTTTTAAAACAAACATTTATTAGCCTACTGTATAAGCAACACAGGACAATTACACTCAAAAAAATGATATGTTGGCTTTACTTAACTTTTTTATGTAAACAGGTTCCACCGGTTCCACATAACTATGTTTCGTTAAACAAACATAATATGTTCATGTAACTTCAACATCATGGAATTTGGTCATTTTAAGCGACCCAATTAAACTCTGAGCTAAAGAGTTAATTAAGTGAATAACTGAGTGATGATTGAGCATTATTGAAGACACCTGATGTTAACAAGCAGAATCTCTGAAGGAGAAAACCGGAATGTTTAAGTCACCATTATGGAGATAAGTGTGTGTTTTAGTTGGGCTCTGATTAATAAAAAAATTCCATCACAGTAGCAATCATTATAGTCTGCGTTTTACAACTCTTTGAGCGAACGCAGACAGAGTGACGAATCATTCCTGAACGGCCATCACTCGCACGCCGCAGCCTCTTTATGTGGTTTTGCTTCTCTGCCTTGGTCAACAAGTAATTTATTCTTGCAGAGTTTTGGTACAGTAACTTACTCTAGAGTTTTGGTAAAAGGTTTTGGTACAGTAACTTATTTTTTCATCAATACTGGCAGAGAATAAACTGCACATTGCACCCAGTTTCAGAAAATTGTTTGGTGCGATACGATTCCAAATTTAGGGGAACCGCCCCTGATGCTTATGCTTATGCTATCGCTTGTTTCTGCTGCTTCTTCACCTGTGTTTTGATCTGGAGATTCTGTACTCTTTCAGAAGATGTGTAATAGCGCCCCCTACTGTATAACAGCGAAAACACAGAAAGCCGGAAATTTCCATCATTGGCGAGGGAAGAGTTAATAAAAGCTGGATGCCTTGAGCTGCTTTATGGAATGCAATTAATTTTAAAATATATTGTTTGGTGGAGAAAATGACTATAAATAAATAAAGCTCTTTCTGATTATGCTATGTCAGCCACTTGACAGAATAGTGTTGTCTCTGAGGTACAAACATGACTCGCGGTAAAGCAAGAAATCAAGAGATTCAAACAATAGGACTAACCGTGTTGAGCTTTATAAAAATTATTTATTTCTGTCGATAAATGCATCCAAACCGTTGCATCTGGTGACGTCACTGACAGGCGACTCAAGGACATGGTCCGGATCACTGGTTTAAATAGCTGATTTCTCTTTATTTAAACATTGTTGGAAACATTTTGGAAAATGTAAGTACACACAAGTCAACAAAATATATAACATTGTTTTAGTGTTTTTTGGGATATTTAATTCAAAAACCGTACATATTGTGCATTTAATCGTCAAAATAATCTACCAATTGCTCGATTACCAAAATAACGGTTAGTGACAGCCCAGGTTACTTTGCTACAACGCATAGCAAAAAAAAAAAGCAAAATAATACATGATACATGATAACAAATAATTAATCTGCTGCTCTGCAAATGACAGTCAAAATGACTTTTTTTTTTATTATCTCAATGAAATGTATGCACTATATTTAGTTCGATAATGTTTTTATTTAATATTTTGTATTTTATGGGTTATTTATGGTACTAAATTATATTTATGCTGTAGTTATAATCCATTCATTCACTTTTTGAGCATAGACCTGAAAATTAAATTTCCAACTTAAACTGTCATAAATCTTGAATGCTTTAGAGCACAGACTAAAGTTTGGTCTCTTTTCAAAGACGACAATTGGCAGATCATTGGTGAAGTGAATAAAGTTTAAAAAGTGAACTTCAAAAAGTTACCGAATTTTACGTTTATTGTTATGTAAATATTCAATTCAAATTTATTTGTATAGCGCTTTTCACAATACATATTGTTTCAAAGCAGCTTTACAGAAAGTGCATTTCAGAAATGTACATAGAATAAGTTAGTTAATCATCATGTATTAATTTAGGGCATAACATATCGCCGGCGTTGAGTCGTCTCTTCACAGGCGTCGAGTCGTCTCTTCACAGGCGTCGAGTCGTCTCATCGCAGGTGTTGGAGCGTCTGAAGTCTCCGTGAGAGGCTGGATACAAACTGGAGCTGACGAACGCTATTTACCTCGGGACTAGCGTCCCGAGATAACAGCAGAAAAGCAGATGGGAAATAATTAGCGTAGCTGCTGTTCATAATATTAATGCAGTCGATCTGATTCAACAGTGGTATAAAAGGTAAGCATTATGTGAATGCTTGGCTGAAGAGATGCGTCTTTAATCTAGTTTTGAACTGGGAGAGCGAGTCTGAGCCACGAACAGTATCAGGAAGGCTATTCCAGAGTTTAGGAGCTAAATGTGAGAACGCCCTCCCTCCTTTAGTGGACTTAGATATCCTAGGAATGACCAGAAGCCTCGAATTTCGGGATCTTAAAGAACGCGATGGATTGTAGGGCGATAGAAGGTCCATTAAATACACAGGAGCTAAACCATTTAGGGCTTTATAGGTCAGTAATAGTACTTTGTAATTGATACGGAACTTGATAGGTAACCAGTGCAGAGATGATAGAATCGGTGTTATATGATCATGTTTCTTGACCTAGTAAGAACTCTAGCGGCTGCATTTTGGACTAACTGTAGCTTGTTTATTGAAGATGCAGGACAACCAGCTAATAAAGCATTACAATAATCTAGTCTCGAGGTCATGAATGCATGAACTAACTTTTCTGCATCAGAAACAGATAGCATGTTACGTAATTTAGCAATGTTTCTAAGGTGGAAAAAGGCTGTTCTTGTAACATACGAAATATGATTTTCGAAAGACAAGTTGCGGTCTAGTATAACACCCAGGTCTTTTACTGTAGTCGATAAGGTAACAGGACATCCTTCTATATTAAAGTTGTATTGTAAGAGATTTTGTGGGTAGTTTTTTGGACCAATAAGTAATACCTCAGTTTTATCTGGATTTAGTAGCAGGAAATTACACGTCATCCAGCATTTTATATCTTTAAGACATTCTGTCAATTTAGATAAGTTAGTGTATTCATCTGGTCGTGATGAAATATATAATTGAGTGTCATCAGCATAGCAGTGGAAATTAATTCCATGTTTTCTTATAATATTACCAAGTGGCAGCATATATATTGAGAATAGCAGAGGGCCTAACACCGATCCTTGTGGCACTCCATAGTCTACTGACGAAATATTCTACATTTTTATGTGAAATATATATTTTCAAAAACACCTTTTACTTTAAATCTGCAAGAAAATAAAAGCAATTAATCTAAACAAGTTTAGTAAGAGCTTTCAGTAAGATTTTGTTTGGCCGCAGTACCAAACGTTTCCACTAGATGAAATTCGTCTCCCATTCATTTCCTATGCGGTGTGACTATTTTTTATGGAAGATTTTTTTTGTTCACACAGCAAGTGCCAAAACATTTCCAAGTTTCGTACCATTCTGATGAAGTAAAAAAAAAAAAAAAAAAAAAGCACTAAAAAAAGTTAAAAAAAATGGGCAAATAATGACCAAAGACAACCAGAGTGTTTTCGTGGGGAAAATAGTTGTTTACTGCTATCTCAGGTTAACTTTATTAGGTTAATCAGTGAAGAGGTCTGATGTTCTGTGTTGTTTAAGTACATTAAGTATATTTCCAATTTTATGACTAAAAATGTCCCCTATTCTATTAAGTGGCTTTTTGACTGGGGTGAGACTGATGGACAGTGACGGATGATCATAGTGCTTGTTGTCATGTTGTTCTTCAGCATACTGTGTTTGCAATAAACAACTTGAACCGTTCGCGCCCATCATTTTTAAAAGCATGCTCTTCATCGTCTTTATCATATACCATAACCACACTCAGCATCAACACAGCGTGATTCAAGGAATGAAGACAGTTTTATTACAATTGTCGACAGAAATGTAAAACACCACCAAACATTTACAGCGATAATATAAAGTTTATTCATGCACAAGCACTCTCTGTTCAGAGCCTTGATATGTTTAAACTCACACTGGTCCCACCACCATCATAGTGACATTCAATCAAAGCAGTTCCCATGGGAACATCAGACTGTTGTGTTTTTAGATTGACAGAAATCATGCCGCTGATCAGAAGTGATATTGTTAGGTAATGGTAGTCAGTTCATAAATTGATTTGTAAATCACTGTTACAAATCTACAGTTTTACAGCAGGTCAGAAGAGTACACACTGTTGTTTCACCAACTAATACCAATACACACTCGTCTTAAAGCTCTTAATGATGCTTCTTCATTCAGACACTCAGCGAAATAACGAGTGGGATCCACAGAGTCACACTCCTTCACCAAAATAGTGTTCAACCTGTAACACACAAAAAAACAGTCACACTTTGATTGTTCAGGCCGGATTTGACTTCTTAAGCCTTTATATTTGAGGTAAATAATTATATATAAATATATGTGTGTGTGTTAGTTAGTTAGTTATTTTCTTCGGTCATTTTGAACAATTAAATCTTAGGTCATATGTAATTCAAAAATCCTGTACATTGAAAAAACATAAAACAATAAAGCAAATAGAGAAGAATTTAAAAAAAAATATATATATTAGAAAGATAAATACAAAATGAGTAAATGCACAAAATGTGTGTGTATACTATACAGTATATGTATATATAAACACACACTTATTTATATATATTTACAAATTTACGACAAATTTAAACAGCACTGGGTTTATAAAATTATAAATGATATTTATATATATATATATATATATAAATATATATATATATATATATGCAGAAATATTCTCACACACTATTGTGGAAATAAGATACTTCTGCAGACTTCTTTTTGCATATTTAAAGGATCATAAATTTAATTATTTTCAACTTGGAAGAGTGATATCAGAGGCGTTTTGGGTTTAGGTTTACTGAAAAAATGTTATGAATGTAATAATACTTATATTGAATGTTTATATATCGTGGACATTTTCATAGAGGCCTTTTAGACTTAACTTTCCCTTCGCATGCGCTTTTGCCCAAATGCCATCCAGTAACTACACTGTCAAAAATGCATTTTATTTGTTGTTGTAAATAAAACAAAGATTATTGGAGTAGTTTTCAGTCTTTCTACTGCAAAATGTATTAGTTGCCATTTCTCTGTAATTATGTGTGAAATTTAGCAATTTCTGAGTGAAATCAGTTTCAAAGTAAATCCTACATAAAATGTTTTTCAGCGTATGAACTGACATCTAGATCATTCAATGCAGTGTCTATAGTGTGTGGGCTACTTACTTGCTGTCAATCATGGTCTTCAGGCAGGCGATGTCATCTGTGACGTCATCGTCAATCAAAGCTATTGGAGGAAACAGAAAAGAGTCAAAACCTTATTCAAACTGGCTCACTGTGAATGCTTAGAGAGCCATAGGAATCTGGCAGTTTATGAGTCCAGAAATTCACAAATCATTGTTTAGGATAGTGTTATGATTGGTGTGGTATTTTCTCACCAGAGCAGCTCATTTCGCAGACATTGAGTGATGGCATCATGCCAGAATCACAGGCCAGCTGATCACTGAGCTGAAACACGCCGTACAGCTGCAGAGAGTGGATATTAATTAAGGGCTTGTTCTCTTTAGGCTTGGGGCCGATGGCTTTGACAAAGCTGGTGTTGAAGCCCGAGGCATTGGCCTTGCAGACAACTGTCACAGAACAAAGGAATAAAGGGTGTGAGGCTGATCAACCTTTTATCTGCACATCATGTGACATAAATATATGGATAGAGAAGGGACTCTGTTACTCACGTCTAGCGATGAGATCATCCACGGTCATTTTGTCTCCCATGGCTTCAGTCACCTGAATCCGAGCCGCCTCGAGTTGAGCCTTCAGCTCACATTTCCTGAGAATCCGTCCCTCAGTCGCACTGGACACCAGCAGAACCAGAGCCAACGCCGCCAACATCTTCACTGGGAGAACGCTCTTCATCTCTGATATCTGGAGGTTAAACACAGAGACAAGTGAAAGCAGAGATAAATGGGAATTTATTTTTAGTTATAGTTATATTAATTTGGTTGCATAGGTGTAATGCAAAGTAGCCCCTTTAAATGGCTTATTATTTTAGTCTGATCATGCAAACAAACAATTTTTTTTTTTTTTTATACACTTCATCAAGGATGTTTTGATTGATCAAAAGTGCAACTGTTTTCAACACTGGTAATAATCAGAAATGTTTCTTGAGCATCAAATCATCCTATTAGAACGATTTCTGAAGGATCATGTGACACTGAAGACTGGAGTAATGATGCTGAAAATTCCGCTTTGATCACAGGAATAAATTACATTTCAAAAATATATTAATATAGAAAACACTTATTTCAAATTGTAATAATATTTCACAAAATCACTGATTTTACTGTATTTTTGATTAAATAAATGCAGCCTCGGTGAGCAGAAGAGACTTCTTTCAAAAACATTCAAACATCTTACCAACCCCAAATTAACTATACTGTATATTTGACCATTGACCTGGTTCAATGACCAGCAAGGCATTCCCTACCAGTTTAATCACAGAACCTGCAATCAAACTGCTGGAGGAACCGTATTAAAATGACTCTTACCAGATGTTTTGTTATTGGATGTTTTGTTGTCTTCGGATGTTCCTCAGTCTTCACTGTCCTTCTGTACTGTGACCCATCAGACTTATATATGCTAGAGTCGTCTCCACCTCAGCTGCACCTGTGCTTTTGGTTCATCCCAACTTTAATACTTTTAATTAATTTAACAATTAATCTTTTTTGGTCTGAATGTGTGTCAGGGGAAGATGGTCTCGCCCTGTTGAGTTTTTGGTTCCTCCCAAGGTTTCTCCATCCACCCAAACCAACCGTCTTGGGGAAGCACAGTTTTTTTGCATCCTTGTTCCTATATAAATTTTCTTCATTTGGCTCGTGTTTGCTGTGATGTGACGTGCAGGTCATTTTAGTTTGTATCTTTCATATAATTTCCAGTAGCGATGGGCGACATATTATTGTTTGCGATATACCGGTAAAAATCGAAGAATTAGTCTTCCCGCAATAATAACGATAAAGCCTTGTTGATGACGTATTTCTTTTTGGGACCCATTCGAAGCTCACGTGCAGAAAAAACAATTATGGTTGAAGGCTTATGAAGGCTATGAAGCTGAGGCGGAGTTTATCGCTAAACGAGGAACTGCTACATAGATATATTTTCACTCGCCGAACACTGACTGAGTTCTTGAGAGTTTCGCTCTCCGTCAAGCGATCCATAAAGTGCACTATTTCAGTTCATCCCAATGAACGCACAGTGTTTTTGATGCACAGTAAACACTAGTGTGATGCGCCTGACTCACCGTCGCTTTGCTGAGAGCGCTCAGTGTTTCTCACACACTCAAAGAGACAACGAGAGAGTCTAATGACTCATTTCCACCGAGCGGTATGGTACAGTACAGTAAGGAACGCAATTATTTTCGTTTCCACTGTCAGAATGCCCAACTGTACCATACCACTTTTTCAGTACCCTTCCGACGGGGTACCTAGCATCTGTCTGCAGCTTGCAAGACTTCAAGTTACGCCCCTTCAAGTTACACCCACTTAAAGTTACGCCCACTTCAAGTTACGCCCCTTCCAGTTACACCCACTTCAAGTTATGCCCCTTCAAATTACGCCCACTTCAAGTTACGCCTCTTCAAGTTACACCCACTTCAAGTTACGCCCCTTCAAGTTATGCCCACTTCAAGTTACGCCCCTTCAAGTTACGCCCACTTCAAGTTACGCGCCTTCAAGTTAGACCCACTTCAAGTTACGCCCCTTCAAGTTACACCCACTTCAAGTTATGCCATTTCAAGTTACACCCACTTCAAGTTACGCGTCCTCAAATTACACCGACTTCAAGTTACGCCCCTTCAAGTTACGCCCACTTCAAGTTACGCCCCTTCAAGTTACACCCACTTCAAGTTACGCCCCTTCAAGTTACACCCACTTCAAGTTACACCCCTTCAAGTTACGCCCCTTCAAGTAAGACCCACTTCAAGTTACGCCCCTTCAAGTTACACCCACTTCAAGTTATGCCCCTTCAAGTTACGCCCACTTCAAATTACGCCCACTTCAAGTTACACCCCTTCAAGTTACGCCCCTTCAAGTTACGGCCACTTCAAGTTACGCCCACTTAAAGTTTCACCCACTTCAAATTATGCCCACTTCAAGTTACACCCCTTCAAGTTACACCCACTTCAAGTTACACCCCTTCAAGTTACGCCCCTTCAAGTTACGCCCACTTCAAGTAACTCTCACTTAAAGTTTCGCTCACTTCAAATTACGCCCACTTCAAGTTACACCCCTTCAAGTTCCGCCCCTTCAAGTTACACCCACTTCAAGTTACGCCCACTTCAAGTTACGCACCTTCAAGTTACACCCACTTCAAATTACGCCCCTTCAAGTTACGCCCACTTCAAGTAACGCCCACTTCAAGTTACGTCCCTTCAAGTTACACCCACTTCAAGTTACACCCACTTCAAGTAACGCCCACTTAAAGTTTCGCCCACTTCAAGTTACACCCCTTCAAGTTACGCCCCTTCAATTAACACCCACTTTAAGTTACACCCCTTCAAGTTATGCCCCTTCAAGTTACGCCCTTTCAAGTTACACCCACTTCAAGTTACGCCCACTTCAAGTTAAACCACTTCAAGTTACGCCCCTTCAAGTTACGCCCACTTCAAGTTACGCCCACTTCGTTACGCACCTTCAAGTTACGCCCACTTCAAGTTACGCACACTTCAAGTTACGCCCACTTCAAGTTACGCACACTTCAAGTTACGCACACTTCCAGTTATGCACCTTCAAGTTACACCCACATCAAGTTACACCCCTTCAAGTTACACCCACTTCAAGTTACGCCCACTTCAAGTTACACCCACTTCAAGTTACGCCCTTCAAGTTTCGCCCACTTAAAGTTACGCCTACTTAAAGTTACACCCACTTCGCCTCAGCATCACGTCCGCCATTTGGACATACTCTAAATTACGCCCCCTTAAAGTTACACCCACTTCCTGTTACGCCCCTATCTTGCTGTCTGCAGACAGACCCATATCAGCACAGTGGTACGGTACCTAAAGGGTGGAGCTAGACACTGCAGAACGTTGATTGGTTGACAGAGACAAACAGCCACATGCCGAGAAGCAAGAACGAGATCTGCTGTATGTCATCCATTGTTGTTTACTATGTCGCTTTCTTCTTCGCGCGAAAATGACGTCGATCGCTTCTTTTCGGCATAGGCTACACCACGTCTATCAAGTATGGTACTGTTGGCGGTGGAAACGCAAGCCGGATCAGGGTTTACCGTCCCGAATCGTACTGTAATGTACCGTACCGTAGCGCTCGGTGGAAACGAGCCATTACATACCGTAATTGAATTGACGTGCTACAGAATTGACGTGCTACATGTAAATAGGGTTGAGTACCGAAACCGGTGCCAATATGTAACCGGTACCTATGTAACTGGTATGTAACTGGACCGAATCAAAACATAGATTTCGGTACCACTTAAATGCCTGAGCTGTCGATTGAAATATTTGGCCTCTGGTTATCGCTAGTTAACGCTTTGACGCGTACGATCGCTATGATTAGAACGTTCAGTGCATCGCGTGATCATCAACTGCTAAATTCAAACCTGCGTTCGCGCTTTGGCTTGCACTGAGCCAGAGACACAAGACCTTGTGAGCGACATGCAATAAGTCAGGAGAGATGTAATATTTTGCCTGAGAAGGCAAATGTGGTCATATTTCTGCAAATGAATTACTTTAAAACTTTAATATATTGTTAATTTTTTTTTCAATAAAAAAGCTGTTCTTTAATGTCATTCACCATCATTTTGTGCCTCTTTTTATTTTTATTTTTATAAAGGTATCGGTTCAGGCACCGGTACCATTTTAAAAGTATTGATTTGGCACCGGTAGTTAATTTGGAATTGTTCAGCCTTTATGAGCCAGCAGAAACGTCTCTGGTTACTTGTGTAACCTATGTTCTCTGAATAGGGAACGAGACGCTGCGGAAAGCGCAGTGGGATATTCTCTGAATGTGCCGATTGTCTGAAGCCTTATAGAATCACGCCAATTCATTGGCTGATGGCGTCCGCGCGATATGGCTCCGCCCCGACGTTTTTACGTCGCATCATTACATATTCGCGCGTGCGCCATCTGCTCCTCAGATTTCTCTGCCGAAAAGAAACTGTCAGCAGCGCGAGGAGCTTGGCCGCTAACGCAGCGTCTCGTTCCCTATTCAGAGAACATAGGTTACACAAGTAACCAGAGACGTTCTCTTTCATAGGTTCACTCAACGCTGCGGAAAGCGCAGTGGGAACGGACTATCAAACTCGCCAAGCTATAGCACTTTTATAACTGGTAGATAAGAGACAACGACCGAAATGAGTTCAAACAGAAAGAACCTGGGAACTCGGGGTCATGTCAAGATCCAAGCTATAGAACCTTACAAAAGTGTGCGGAGAGGACCAGCCTGCCGCAACACAAATATCCTCCAAAAGTGCTCCTCTGAAAAGAGCTTGAGAAGATGCTACACTTCTGGTGGAATGTGCTCTAATGCTAAGAGGTGAAGGCAACCACGCACCCCGTAAGCCAACGAGATAGCCTCTGTGACCCAGTGAGAAATCCTCTGCTTTGATGCAGCAAGCCCACGGCGGCTAGCACCGAAGCAAACCAGAAGCTGGTTAGATTTCCTCCAACCGCCTGAGCGGTCTACATATATCTTAAGAGAACGAACTGGGCAGAGCAAGTTAAGCTTCCTATCTTCCTCAGACGAAAATGGAGGAGGGTGGAAAGCGTTAAGGTTAACTACCTGTGAGCGGAAAGTTGAGGAAAGAACCTTGGGGACATACCCTGGTCTCGGCCTCAAGGAAACTTTGACCAGGCCAGGGGCAAAGTCCAAGCAAGACTCGCTAACAGAAAGAGCTTGTAAGTCTCCCACCCGCTTTAATGAGGACAAAGCTAACAAAAAAGAAACCTTGAGAGTCAGAATCCTCTCCGGGGCTGACTCCAAGGGCTCAAAGGGGGCTTTTGTAAAACCCTCTAGGACAACAGAAAGATCCCATGAGGGAACTCTAGGGGAGCGAGCCGGTTTCAGGCGCTTCACCCCACGCATAAAGGCAGAAGCTAACCTTAATTTGCCCAGGGGAACCTCATCCGATTCCCTATGCGCTGCAATAGCCGCAACATAAACTCTGAGAGTGGTAGCGGCTGCTCCAGCCGCAAACTTCTCCTGCAGGAATTCCAGTACTGAACCAGCAGGGCAGTTAACTGGGCTCCTATCATGTGCTAAGCACCAAGTCTCAAAAACCTTCCATTCGGAAGAATATAATCTCCTTGTAGAAGGGGCTCTAGCACTCGCAATGGTCTCCTGAACGTCAGTTGGGAGACCAGAGCTTAATGCTAACGGCCTCTGTTCGGCCAAACATACAGCTTCCACATGTCTGGGCAAGGATGCCATATCCTGCCCTGTAACTGGGACAGCAGATCTTCCCTGACCGGGATCCTCCAGGGGGAAGATTCCAGTAGAGGAATTAGCTCCGAAAACCATGCTTGAGATGGCCAGAACGGAGCTACCAGGAGGCGGCGGACTCCGCTCTCTCTCACTCTGGCCAAGACCGCCTGGATCAGTTTGATGGGCGGGAAGGCATAGAGTTTCTGCGTTGGCCAAGGGTGAGCGAACGCATCTATCCCCAATGGGGCCGGGGGACTCAGGGAGAACCAAAGCGGGCATTGGGACGACTCTTGAGATGCAAAGAGGTCCACCTCCGCCTCTCCAAAAACCTCCCAGATCAGGGCCATCGTCTGGCGGTTCAACATCCAT